AAAGTTAATCATCTCATATATCAGATATCAATACAAATGAGCATATTAAACCAAAACTTTTTTTGTCCTTGCTTCATAGCACTTTATTCCTAAGACAGTTTTTATTTCAATTTCCCATTTTTATTTGCATTTAAGTAATTTTTTTTACCCATACTGAGACACCAAAGTAAAATAGAGCATTATGTAAAGGGCTTTTTCTCCCATTTTTGTGAGAAGCTTTAAATGGTATTTATGCTTTCATCAAGATTTATGGATATTAATGGAAGAGATCTGTTTTAATCATGACTGCTAAATTTCATCATGTATACCAAATCTCTTCAATTTTCTTTTATAGTCATGTTTTGAAAATATCTGAGTTCATGTTTTACTTGTGCCTCACATGGCACTTTAAATACTTCATACATTGTCTAAATAAGGACCAGAAATTTGATACTGTTCTTTCACACCTATGAACAGAGATCAGTATTAACCTGTAGCACAGAAATATAGTGATACTTTTAAACAACTTATTAAAAAGATGAGTTTGAAAAGTCTCAGGAGCATATGGCACGCTGCACTTTCTTCAGATCAGTGCTAATAGCACTTTTTATGATGGTAAGAATGTTCTTTATGTTCTCCAATATGCTAGCGCCCAGTAACATGTATTTGAGCCCATGAAGAGTGGCTAGCATGAACTGAATTTTTAATCAACTGAAATTTAAATAGCTATATGTGGCTAGTGGCTACTGTATTGGACAACATCGCTTTAGATAATACTTAAGCAGTAAAAGCTGAGGAAAGCATATTTTGGATAGGAGTTTTAAGACCAGGCTATCTATTGAAATATGAAACAAGGATCATGACTGAAAATTGTCTCTGAGCAAAAGAGTGTAGCTGCACTGTTTATGCTGACAATCTATTTCATTAAAACAGTTTCTGACAGACCACCTCTCTCACTGCCCCTGTTATGATGTAGTGCTTCTGAGGAAAGTTGCCCTTTCTGGATTTTATTTGGAAGTTCTTGGAGTTGCAGAGATGCACAAACTCAAATGCCAAAAATTAGTTTCTGATGAGATTGTCATATTTTTAACATTAAAACATTTTACATAGTTTAGCCTAATAATTTCTCATTTTAGATGAATTTGAAATCCTTTGACCTCTAACAGGTCGATTTCTCATTACCAGTGATTATACCGGAACATGGAGGAATATCATTTTTATACCTAATATTTTTTAAATCCTGGAAGATCAGTTGTGGATCCAAAGGCAAGTGTTTTTGTTTCTGAGAGAACCAGATTAATTTTTCTATGTTCTCTGGCCACGGTGTGTCACCCTTGGTTCAAGCTGGTCATCTAATAAGTGATTCATCAAAAGGACAGAAGTGGGGTTGGGAGTGCCAGGCTTGGTACAGCCTGAAAACGCTGGGGAGAAAGCTCAGAGCACGTGTTCTGTTGAGAGCAATCACTGTTTAACCTAATGAAAAAGATGGCGGAGTAACAGACCACCAAAGTGCCAAAATCTACTTTAAAAAATGTAAACAATACAGAGGTTATAATGTAAGGTTTTTAAAGTGCTAAGAAATAAGCTCACTTTTAGTTATGGATTTTCATGACTACCTCTTTTGCTGTATGACTATATCTCAATTTTCTGATACCTCAATTTCCTGAGAATCTGTATGTATGTTTTTGTAAATAAAATAATTTACCATATGCTAGGGGAAGGACCTGGCTCTTAAAGAAATTGTATAAAGACATTTATTAATGGGATTTGTTATGCGGTGAATCAATAATTTCAAAATGTCTTATAGCTTTTTCTCACCCCCTTGACTGAGGGTTTTTTTTTTTTTTCAGTAAATAATCTTATTTAGTGAGATTTGTGTTCCAGGAAGTGTGCACCCTCATTTGTTCATTTAAAACTGCAAAGATTTGTATGTCTCCTATGTTTTACTTTCATGCCAAAGAAACCCTTTTTAAAAGCCAGCAGGTTGCAACAACTGGGGGGAAAAAAATTTGCTCCTTAAGTAGGCATGCTTAAGAAGTTTTATTTCCTGGGATATAAATATTTTTCCAGAGGAAAATAATCATTTGTTTCATTAAAGCAATTATTAATAATTTGTAAAAATGCATGTGCTTTTAGGAATGCAGTGGTTCCATTAAGGAAACAATATTGACAATTTTAAGGAACTGTTTCTATAATACAATCCACAATTGCATAAAACTTTGCAAACTGATATAAAGTAATTCCTAAATTTCATGTATGTTTATGAATTGTTCAGGATTCAATGCTCTAACATAGGGGATTGATCGCTATCACTTTTAGGGCCAGATTCCCATGATTGTACATGGTTAGTTTCATAATTTTAAGGAGGCTGAACCAGCTGTCTTAAAGCTAAACCTGCTGCCTTTAAACTGTGCTACCTCCCTCCCCCCTCCAACTGTGGCTGTAAATAGTGACTCTTTGCAGTCAGCTAGCGTTATACTTGATTTTATTGTAAATGCAAATAAAAATTGTAAGTCCATCAAGTATTAAATTAACTAGGTAAATATAAACTGATTTCAACCTTGTCTTTGGCCAAATCTACCTGATGGTTTATGATTATTTGGAAATGAAGTACATCGTTATGGATGTGAGCACTGTGTTTGAGTTATTGTGGGAATCATTATTTTCTTCATATTTGGAACAGATAATGAACATTCAGCGGGTTTATTTCCATCCTGATGATACTGGGCAAGCTTTTTAAACCTCTCTGAGCCTTTAGTGGTAACTACCTGGTAAGCTCATTGTAAAAGTGATATCATTTATGCAAGAGTGCCTAGTAGCCTAGTAGAGTAAATAATAAATGGTGACTATTACTAATATATGTAACAGTAGTATATAATGTATTTTGGTATTGGGTTTTATAGCATCATTTTAATGGCAAATCATCTACATATTTCATTAGCTCTTATGAGAGTAGCCTAAACTAGTAAGTGAAGAGAGCAAACTTTGTCTTTTTATTGTGGAGAATACTAAAGTAGGTAGAAGTATATAATGATCTCTCTATGTACTTAACCAGGCCCAACACCCATGGCCTATCTGGTCCCATCCATTCCCCACCTGCCCTTCTCAGATTTTTTTTCCAAACCCCAGAGATTATATTTTATCTATAAATATATTAGTACTTATTTCAAATGGTAAGGCCTAATTTTAAATAACAAAACAGTACTATTACACAATAATATTTAATCATTATATAACCAGTGTTAATGCTTCAGTGTTTAGGAAATTGTTTTTGACAGCAGTATTGAGATGCATAAGAAATGGAGAGTAAATATGACTAGAAAAGAGATCACTCAAAGAGGATAAAAGATTTCTGTTACAAGGACAGTAGACACCTAAGTAGGTAAATTTGGAGGCGCAAATGGAAAGAAAAGTAGAAGAGTAGAGCTAAGGTTGAACGGAGGGGGCTGCCTTGTATATCCCAAGTGCCTGGTGTTTTCTTATGTAAGAAAAAGGAGTTGATAAATAAAAACTTAGAAGAAGGGGTTGGGTTTTTGAAGTATAATCAGTGAAGCATGGCATATAAGATATTGGGTGAGCAGGAGAGAAAAATTGGTCATATAGGGACACAATCTTCCCCACTCTCCCCAAACGGTTGTTGATCCATGGACTACCTTAAAGAAACTGAAACCTTACAGATGTTCTCTCCCAAACACATTTTTAAACAAAAATTCCCAAATCTTAACCAAGTTATTTGGGAAAAGAACAATACTTTCAAGGAGATACCAGTAGGGTTTGACATAATTGTCATGCCATCAATGATTAAAGTCTTAAATGCTGAACTAATGGCTTTAGACTCAATAGCATTCTCAGCCTCAAAGACAAAGTGATTTTGCATTTCTTTTCATAAATTGTCCTTAGGACAGCAAGATGGTTGGAGGGTTTCCCCATAATTGAGATATTTGCCTTTAGTTCCCAGTTTTCTGCATTGTTTACCTATGATCTCAGGCCAGTTGCTTAGTTTCCTTGTGCCTGGTATTCATATTTTTTTTTGTTTTATTGATTTTTTACAGAGAGGAAGGGAGAGGGATAGAGAGTTAGAAACTTCGATGAGGAAGAAACATCGATCAGCTACCTCCTGCACACCCCCTACTGGGGATGTGCTCACAACCAAGGTACATGACCTTGACCAGAATGGAACCTGGGATCCTTCAGTCTGCAGGCCAATGCTCTATCCACTGAGCCGAACCAGTCAGGGCTGGTCTTCATATTTTTATGGAGTAATTACAGCAGCCTCCCTTTGCAAGGACATTATAAGAAAACTGCGAGAAATGCTCTGAGTGACTTGGTTGATGATAGTACCATACTTAGTGCATTCAGCAAAGCTTTTTCTTCTAGGTGACTTTCCCCCCATTTTATTGCTGCTTTCCTAGCACCTGTAATTTGGTGCTGTTGTAGGGTGTTTCCTGTTCAGGTGGAAGGGTTGAATCAAAAGAAGGCCCTGAGTTAGGGACACAATTTTATTCAGGTTTTTTTTTTTAAAGAAAACAAGGTGGGGAGCCCAGCCAGTGTGGCTAAGTGATTGAGTGTTGACCTATGAACCAGGAAGTCACAGTTCAATTTCTGGTCAGGGCACATGCTTGGGTTGTGGGCTGGATCCCCAGTGTGGGGTGTGCAGGAGGCAGCCTATCAGTGATTCTCATCATTGATGTTTCTATCTCCCTTCCTCTCTGGAATTGATAAAAATACATTAAAAAAAATAGGGTGGGAAAAGGATTAGGGCCACCCTATATTGAAACACCCCAATATTATGGTTAAAGGGGATCAAGACATAAATAATTCAGGATAAACTAATCACAGCCATTATTTGAATTTATAAAGAAACCCTCTACCACATGGCTAACTAGAATTGCCAAGATTACATAAAATTGGGAAGTGATTTTATGAGTTTTTATACAGCAGCTACACTAAGTGTATGTACAGTATAAGCGACAGAATCGTGGTTCTCAAACCAGTGAGTCCAATTTTCTCATTGTTTAAAGGAGCACCTGACTGGAGACAAGAACACCTGGACATCTTTGCACAACCTGCTGAGCAGAGGATCACTGGGGTCTGGCTGATCACAGGATGCTTGCAGCTATTGGGATGTGATCCCCTCAGCTTCCGGTGGAGAGACCTGTGGTTAATGTCCTCTCTTCATTGCCGGGAGGGCAATAGAGTAATCTATATAATAAAAAGGTAATATGCCAATTTGCCCATTACAGTTTGCCCAGACTAGTCCCAGTCACGACTAGTCTGTGGGCAGGGCCAGGGGCAGGGACTTCCGCCCCAAGCGCTAATGTCAGGCTGCCTGCGTGCTCCTGTGTGGGTCCCCGTTCAGCACTGGTATGACAATGCTGGGGGGGTGGGAAGAGGGCCGGCCTTGACGGGGACCTAAGGCCACGTCCCCTGTCCCAGCTCCAGGCCACCCAGACTGCGCCCCCGCCCTGGCTCTGGGCTGGGAGACCCCAGGCCGTGCCCCCCCACCCAGCAAAGTTTGATGGGGTACCTCAGGCCACCCCCCCCACACCTGACAGGGCTTGACAGGAGACCTCAGGCTGCGCCCCCCCACCCTCAGGGCTTGACAGGGGACCTCAGGTTGTGCCCCCCATCTAGCAAGGCTTGACGTGGTACCTCAGGTCGCACCCCCAGCCCAGTGGGTCTTGATGGGGGACCTCAGACCATGCCCCTCACCCAGTGGGGTTTGATGGGGGACCCCAGCCCCGGCTCCAGGCCGGGAGACCTCAGACTGCATCCCCCCATCCCAGCGCCTGACCGGGAGACCTCAGGCCATGCCCCCCGCCCAGTGGGTCTTGATGGGGGACCTCAGGCTGTGCCCCTCGCCTGATGGGGCTTGACAGGGGGACCTCAGGCCATGCCCTCAACCCCAGCACCAAGCTAGGGGACCTCAGGCTGTGTCTTCTGCCCGGTGGAGCATGACAGGGATCTCAGGCCACGTCCCTCCCCTGGCAGGGCTTGACAGGGGACCTCAGGCTGGGGGACCTCAGGCTGTGCCCCCCACCCGGAGGGGCTTGACAGGGGTGGGGCCGGCCAGGTCTGGGTCTCCTGTGTTTTCGAAGCACGTGAGGGTGGTGGGCGGGGTCTTGACTCTAGGTCCCCTGGCATGCCCCAGACTCTGACAGGAGGGAGATTTTTTATACATTTTACTAACTTTCTTTCATCTCTGACACTTCTATTATAGAGAAAAGGCAAGTAGCAATATTAAAATATTTCTTTTCATTAATTCCCTTTTAATGTGCATGAATTTCATGCACCGGGCCACTAGTAAGTAAATAGCATGTGGTGAGATTGCCTCCTTACAGTTGTTAAAGTAGTTCCACCTACTTTTACTCAGTCTTTAAAAAGATCCTTTGGGATTGAAAGATAAACCAACACTTACAAATGACATCTCTGTCTAAGGTCACAGCAGTGATGAGACCTGAACCCGGGACTCTTGAGTCTCCTAGTTTTCTTCCTATCTGACCTGGTGCTTGATGAAACCCAAAGGGGACAGGCAGAGTCCAGTATGTTTAATTCTGTTGGATAAAATTAAAACTTTAATGAGTCCTACTAAATTATTTAATAGGTCCAATTTGTAAAATCCATTAAAGCATTTAGGATTAAGTGGTTTTTCTTAACATCTAATTTGTTTCTAATAATTAGGCCTGTAATATCTTTCAAGGGGACTGAAATTGATTTCTTTTTAAAGCAAAACTTGACTTCCATATTGTCTCATTCTATAAAAATGGAAATGAATACTCTTATTTAGATTATTTATGTTTAATTTTAAACTTTTGAAGTATTGTGCTCTAGTATATAATTCTCTTGCTGTATTTCCAGTAAATTTTACTTTATCAAACTTCAAATAAGCCTATAGAAATATGTTTTTAAGGGAAAGAAAGGAGTTTATAGAAAAACTACCTTGATTCAAGTTTAAAGTCTAATTAAAATATGTAAATTATTTTAAAAACACTATGCAAAATCAGATTATACATATTTTCTTTGTAATGCTAAGTCTCAAAAATGCAAACATTAGGAAATTATTTTTGTGTATATATGTATATATGTGTGAATAATGTGTGTGTGTAGATATGTGTATATATATGTATATATGTGCATATATATACGTGTGCGTGTGTGCGTGTGTGTGTGTGTGTGTGTGTTTTATTTTTTTGTATTAGATCCTTTTCCTGGTGGTAAAAACTTGCTTGAATTAGGTTATCAGCTGCTGGTGATACGATGTTAAATGACTGTGCCGGTCTCTAAAGCTGGTTTCAAATAGAGTAGGATGCTACTACACCAAACTTACGCCACTTAGAACACTGGACAGGTCAGGGATGCCAAGCATACTGTGAGAGAAATCTTTACTTTCCTACTCATAAAAACGGTGTTATCGATATGTGCCTTTCAGGGTAGTGATGTGGGTTCCACTCAAGTAATTCCATGACAGTAGGAAATTTGTTCATGGCTGTATTTGCTCACTGCCTAGGTCAGTGCCTGGAACACATCTGGCATCAAATAAATGCTGATAACATAAATGCATTACTTGATGCAGAATACTTTGTGAAGTGCACTACAAAAAATATTCAGACTTAAAATCATCAGGTGTCCAAAGTGTGAACTGGCAGGCAATCTGTATTTTCCTCCCGCTCTTTCTCCCTCCTTCCCTACGTCAATCATGAAATTTGCATCATCTGCTAATGTTCTGTCCTAAGAACCCGCTCTAGGCTTGGCATCATGCTGGGCACTGAGGAGACAGAGCCAACTGAATGGCTCTTGTGGGACTCACAGACCTACCCAAAGCTCTGTGTGATATGCAGAGGTGATTGCTAAATTACTTTTTATGATGCCAGAGATGTTGACCAGGTAAAAAATTTGTAGATCAGCACGACCCTAGATATTTCTGAATTATTTTTTTGTATTTTAAAAAAAGATGCAAAAACCTTAATTTGTTGTGAATGTAAATATTTTTTATTATATCAATTGCTCAGACACATAAATCCAAATACAATTAACTCCGAATTGTAAATCAGACCTAAGAATTTAAACAAGAAAGTTTCATGGAAATTAAGATATTGAATTTATATATTTTAGCTGCAAAGAAGTAATTTTTTATAAACAAGGCAATTGGACACTTGTTTTAAAATCATTTGCATATACCTTCAGTTATAAAAAATAACTTCAGTGCTTTAAAACCAACAGTGCTTTTAAAACTCAGTGTACATTTTCAAGTTTTTCTAATCTGTAACCCAAATTTTCCTATTCCTTGTCCACCTGGTACACCACTTCTTCTAACTGCCCCACTCAGAGAGCCTTGCCAAGTCAGCTGTAAAGTCAATTTGCTGGCAAAACCAAGAACATAAATGCACTTTTCAGTCAAATCAGCCTACTGACAGCAAGGAGAATCAAGGCCAAAAACAGAGTCAGATTTATAAAGAGAAAAATAGAAGCAAAGGGGATCCAGCCAGCAGGGCTATGAGTCCGGTTATTTAAACAGGCAGAAGAAGGGGAAAAAATATTAGCGATTTTTGTGGATTGAAGTAGAAAAGTCTGAGTCTTAATCCAGAATGATTTTATTTTTACAAAGAGATATTTTTAAATGTTATAAGAAGGCATATATTCTATGTCAGCTAAAATCATTACATCTACTTTGAAAGGTGGCTTCTTTGAGAAGTTAAATTGCCTTTACCCAGGGAAAAATGTTGTTGATGTTTCTGTATGTTTGACTTAATTGCAAAGTACTGAATGGTTAGGTAGTAGTAACTATGTGTGAGCCTCACTTCTTTTTTCTTAAACCTCAGGGATTTGACTGAACTACTACCAGCTTATATATTTGGACTAGAGGCCCAATGCACAAAATTCGTGCAAGACTAAGCCTTTGCAGCCCCGGTTGCCTCAGTCCTCGCAGCCCCAGCTTCGTCCAGAAGGTCGTCTGGTCTGTCTTTCTGCTGTTCGGCCATTCAGTCGATTTGCATATTACACTTTTATTATTATAGACACTCAGGTAGAGGGATGCCTGGGAAGTAATCCTTCTGGTTCCAAGTCTGAGCATAACTCCTGGCAAATGGCTCTGCGTTGGGCAGTCAATGGGAAACCATGCAGCACAAACACTGGTGGAGCATTGCTAGCATCAGAAGAGATGTGTAATTCCCAACTAGAGCACACCATTTACTCATCTGACCTATATTTACTGAGCACCTACTATGTGCCAGAAAATGCACCTGTGACGATAGAGGAAAACTTCCACTCTTAGCATCAAATAGTGTGTGAAGTCCGAGACAGAAGTCTAGGGAAGGGAAGAGGAAGCACTAATTAAAGGCCGAAGGGGCCCTGGCATTATCTGTATTCTTCGAGCAGACAGCAGTTGCAGAATTCTAATGGGAAGCTTGGGAACACTTAAATAAGCATTCAGATATCTGGTGAGTCAGAGCTATGGGAGGCCAATTTTGAAAGATTAATTAGGAAGCAAGGGAGAAGCCCTCCTTGTAAGCAGTTTAAGACTGGGCAATACTTGTGATGCAAATGTGGCTGGATCTTGTCAGCAGCCTAATAATTCTCTTTTCAGTTCATAATCAGCATTTTGTAGCAACTCTGTCCTTTCTCCTAAAAAAAGAAAATGTAAAAGACATTGGTGAGTGCCTTGGATTTTGAGCACGTGTGTGTGTGTGTATGTGTATGTGTGTATGGGAAATGTAAAATGTTGATCAAGGGGTACAAAGTTTCAGTTACATAACATCAGTAAGATCGGGAGATCTAATGCAGGGGTGGGCATAAGTAGTGTTACAGTTCATTGCTGGCCTTCATTCTTCACACATTCTTGTAGCCTGCTTCCTATACTTGAGCACACATTGGTACAGAGTATAGACCTACTTTTGCCCACCCCTGTATATACCAACTGGGACTATAGTTAACTGTATTGTATACTTAGAATTTTAAGTGTTCTCAACACCTTTTATTTATTTTATTTTTTATTTTTTTTTGTTTCCTATGCCCTCACAAGGTATATTTCTCTATTTTTATTGGACTTTGGATTCAGCACCATGACATTGAAAGTCTGATGATGTTTCAATCTGCTTCATGTCTGAGCTGGCTCCAGGCAAGACAAGTGAATTATTGGTCAGTTCCGTCCCGCTATAAAAATCAGCGTGCTGGGCTCAGTCTTCTTTCAATAACGGGCAGATTGGTTGTGGCTGGGACCCAGTCCTAAACATCAGGGATATTTTGCCTCTTCAGAAAAAGTTTGAGGGACGTGAAAGGAAAAACACTTTAAGTAGGGAATCAGCCTTCTGCAATGAAAGGCAGCGCGGGGGAGGGCGTATTTGGCTCACTGCCATTGTGCCAGTGTCAACACCTTTTAAAAAATAAAGAAAATAGCACCTATATGAAGTCATGGATATGTTAATTTGTTGATTTCAGTGATCATTTCACAATGTATGTGTACATGAAACATCAAGTTGTACACCTCAAATATATACGATTTTTCTTTGTCAAATATACTTCAATAAAGCTGAGAGAGAGAGAGGAATAGTCCTTAGGCCTGCTCTCCACATCCCAACCCTCACCATCCTTGTCTTCCAGCTGATGAGAGACAGGTCTAGACTTTGGATAAGTATTCTTGGGCTGGAGCAATTTCTAGCAGACTCCTATGTTTCTGTCATCCTGCTCTCAGATCTGCTATGGTAGGGATCTAGGTAAAATGAAATAATTGCAAAAGAAGATGGGGAAAATGTGATAGCCCTATAAGGAAGCAACAAGGAGATTTAACCTAGACTATATACCATATAACTATATGATGTATATCACATAGCTACTACCTATGACTTATTACTGATAACAGCTAACACATAAAAGTTCACAAAAGGTATTCTTTTTTATAAGTTAGAGTCAGTGGCATCCTATAATAATGTTACTTGAGCCTGATATTTTTTTCTTGCCTGAAAGAGAAATGAATAGAGTTCCAGCTGAACCTCCAGAAAACATGCCAGGGTCTGTGGACCATTTTGACTACTGTGTATTGAAGCAGAAAGTTGAGAGCTCCTGGGACGGGGCTAGGAGGTAAGGATCATGATTTTCTTCTAGTGGGGTCCTGGCTCTTGGATGTCCCCATTTTATTTTAGTAGATATTCTTCGGGAATAGCTATTAAGCACATTTAACATTTAACTGAGAAAGAAAGAATGATGATCGAGTCCATTCTCTAGTTCAGAATAGAAAGGGAAATTAATTAAAATTGGAGTTGAGTATTTTTCATTGTCTTTTGTGAACAATCTCTCCCTCCTGCCCTTTAACCAAAGCAACTAAAATTAAACACTCATCAGTTTGCCACAGCAGTGAGGCAACCAAAGGCCTTACACAGTATAATGTGAGTCAGCTATGATGTAAGGTAGCTCTTTTGTGTAGATCTGTTCCCCTCTTTCTTAGGTTTGTATCGAGATGGTTACCTTACATTGTTTTGCATTTGGGCATCTCAGGATTTTGACCCTGTTATAAGCTGGAGTCTAGAGGGAACCACAGAATGTTGAGGCATCACACAGCATCTTATGTAGTGGTTACTTTTATGGGCTTTGATATGAGAAAGCCTGGTTTCAAATGCTGATGCAGCCACTTATAGCTCTGTGATCCCTGAGCGTTACATCACTAAGAGTGTCTGGTTTCCTTACCTCTAAAATGAAGAGAATAGTAATGATGCTTATTTCACAGGGAAATAAGATGATTAAGCAAAACAATGCACAGAATATACTTAGGAGAGGGCCTGACTCAGAGTAAGTATTTAGTACATGTGAGTTGCTTATATTATTAGCAGTGGAAATATGGGGACCTTTATTTTACAAAATTGAAAAACGAAAACTTGTTATTTTAGCACAAAGACCTGAACATTATGCTAATTTCTAAGATCGGAATATGGCAAGAAAATCAAACTGTGGACACAGATCATCTTGGCCAGGGTTATAAACCGGCTAAGTGTTTGTGTTATACTCAGCCTGAGCTCGGGGTCCCACAGGAAGTTGCTGCATTTCTTCCCGAAGAGCTGTGGCCCATCCTGCCTACTGCCTTGTTCCACGTGGATTGAGTTACTAATGTTCCTTACAAGCCTCTCTTCCTCAATGATAGACACTCACTTATTTATGGAAATTAAATCTTTTCTTTTGCATATTTTTTAAAATTTATCTTTATTGTTGAAAGTATTACAGATGGCCCCCTCTTCTCCCCATTGACTCCCTCCAATCTGCCCTTCAGAGGTGGCACCTCTTTAATAAAGTAAATGGGCTGGCAGTATCTTTAAAAATTAAATTCCCCATTTGTGAGGATGGGGCATACATGCTTTAAACACTTTTTATTTTGAAATACTTTCAAGTTAACATAGAATTTGGGGAAAAAAATGGTACAAAGAACTCCTATATGTCTCTCATCAACATTTCCCAATCTTTAATGTAGGGACCCACTCAGAATTCCAGAGTTGGTATAAATATTATTTTAAACTTAAGACATTTGAGAATCAACAGATGGAAAGAAGTCTTCTTGAAGCTTCCCTTATCTAACTAAAAGCAATAATTTCTGGGAAATAAAGCTGCAATAAATTTCTTCTATGGGCACATCTATGCCCACAGGGAGGAACATGAATAAAACCTTCCCCAAATTCCTTCTCAGGGGCAGTTTTATGGCTGTGAAGGAGACAAAAAACCATTCATATCTGTATAGACAAGCATTATTGGCTAACTTCTTTATCTCTTGATTGTTATCCTAAAAACCCATTTGTCTTTCCTAAAGAAACCTATTTATTCTTCCCAGAAAAGCCTTTTCTCCCCTCTCCTTTCCCCCTAAGTTAGGTATATAAGTCTTCAACTTAAATCATATAAAGAGCCAGCTCTTTCTTTAGCAAGCTCCCGTGTGTATGTGAATAAATCTTTTTTTCCTGTTAACCTGTCTTCAGTCAGTTTAATTTGCAGGCCTCAGATATGACATAAGAGGATAGAGGACAAGTTTTTCCTCCTCTACATTAACATTTTGCCTTATCTTTCCTGTCTCTTTATATATTTATTTTTTCTAAACCATTTGAAAGTTATAGTCATGACATCCCATTGCCCCTTAATACTGCAAAGTGTATTTCCTAAAAAGAGACACTTTCCCACAATACTATCATCTAAGCCCTAGAACCCACTAAAAATTTGCCCATTACCTCAGTAATTACCCAATAATATTCTTCATAAGTCCAGGATCCAGTCTAGGATCATGTGTTACATTTAGTTATCATTCGTTTTAGTCTCCCTCAACCAAGTGCAGTTTCCCAGTGTTTTCTTATTTTTAATGGTATTGAAAGTTTTTAAAATTTACCCCGTAAAATGCTCCTCAGTTTGGGTATGTCTGATGTTTCCTCATGATTGGATTCAGATTATTCATCTCAGGCAGGAATATTACAGAAGTGATGTTGTATTCTCTCAGTGTGTAGTATTAGGAGGCACATAATAGTTACCTGTGCTATTACTCTGGATACTAACTTTTATCACTTGGTTAAGATGGTGTCTGCCTGGATACTCTATTATAAAGTTGTTAACTAGTATGTACTTCTTTATTAATAAGCAATGAATAAGCATCTTATAGAGAGATGCTATGAGATTATGTAAATATCCTGCCCCTCATCAAATTTTCACCTACTTGTTTTAACAGCTAGTGACGATTCATGATTAAATCAATTATTATAATGACAGTCGCCAAATGGTAATTTTATAATTTCATTATTACCTCCCCCCTCTTTTTTTTTTCATCAAAAACCAGTATCACAATTTTGTTTTTCTTTAATATTAAACCAGTTATGACACATAATAGCATTATCTAGAAAACATTTTGTCAAAACTCATGAGTGCAGATATATAAGGATCAACAAGAAAAGAGATAATGCATCTAACTCACAGAATAAAGACAAAATCAAAAGAGTTCATCTTACACATCAGAGGAAATATAATGAGCTAAATCCATGGTAATTTGGGTTGAAGGCATCATCCCTGTACATTAAAATTTATCAGACTGATTTTTTTTGTGGCTATACACCATACACAATATAGTAAAATAAGCCTCAAAAAGGACATTGGTTTAAAAATCTTGGCTTTAAGGAATGACAAACCCTCTATACATATGTATTTCTCACCAATGGATATATTATTTTAGAGAGAGGAAGGGAGGGAGAGAGAGAAAAAAAAGCATTGATGTGTGAGAGAAACCTTGATCAGTTGCCTCCCATACATGCCCCAACTGGGGATCAAACCCTCAATCTGGGTATGTGCCCTGACCCAGAATCTAACCCACCACCCTTTGGTCTATGGGACGACACTCACACCAGCTGAGCCACACCAGCCAGGGCTTACCTTTATGTTTTTTTATTTGGCATTCTCTTATAAGGTAGAACTTTTCCTTTCTCCTCATTTATTTATATAGTAATTCATCTATATTTTTAAAAGCCTAATATGCAAAGTGTCCCCTTGGGAGTTCGACCAGGAGGACGGGCGTTCGATCACTCACTATGATGTGCGCTGACCACCAGGGGGTGGTGCAGAATGAAGGAAAGCCCTGGCTGGCGGCCGCTAGGGACCCTACCCATGCACCAATTTTGTGCACTGGGCCTCTCGTTTATTTATATAAATATGGACTTATGGGCTTCTGTTTTGTTCCATGTGTTATTGCCTGTTACTATGATTATTTATTAGCCCTCTTAGGCTGGCTCCTATGTCTTTTTAATGTGTCCCCATCATTCTTTGAAGCACTTCCTTACTTTCTGGCACAACACAATGTTCCAGGCTCACCTGCCATTTCCTGTCACAGCCCTGGAATCAGTTATTTCTTTAAAGAGTCCAGGTTCCTTTTAAGGGAGAATGTAATTTAGAAAACATGATCTCAATGCTCATTGATATTGGGATGTCATTACTTTCTTTTTAAAATATATTTTTATTGGTTTCAGAGAGGAAGAAAGTGGGAGAGAGAGATAGAAACTTCCATGGTGGAAGAGAATCATTGATTGGCTGCCTCCTGCCTGCCCCACACCAGGGACCGAGCCCGCAACCCAGGCATGTGCCCTGACTGGGAACCAAACTGTGACCTCCTGGTTTATAGGTCAGTGCTCAACCACTGAGCCATGCCAGCCCTGCAGGGTGTGTAATTACTTTTAATTCTTCTCAGCAGAGTAGGAAATATGTATGTACACACTCACATATATCCATATCTGTCTGTCTGTCTACCTATCTATCATCTATCTATATTAAAATACCACGAACTCACACTTGATACCTTCAATTCCAATCCAACACCACAGGGCTTTTTATCCTTTCCTCTTTTACCTATTTGTAATGCCTTTCTTCAGCACTGAAAAACTTGGTTCCCATTAGCATCAATATGTTTGCTTAGTTTGTCATTTCTCCTGTGTGTAATCAATGTCCTAATGATACCGGCTACCTCTTTGACCCCAGCCCCACTGACTATGCTATCTACACCAGCCAAGTTCTTGACCTTGACTAAGGGAAATGGAAGGGGAAGAGATGGTGTACATTTTCTTTAATGAAGCCTAAAATAGTTCTGCTGCTCAATGTAATATAAGTGTTTTTCCTGCTAAAATCAAATTCTAAGTTTAAAACAGACAAGTAAAAATGCAAAGTGAAGATTCACATTCAATTGTTAGTTAATGATTGACTTGGCAAGTGATTATCTGCTCTGCTTAATTTTATTATCTGAGGCAATGTAACACCCCGTTGAAGCCATTAAAGTCAATCATTTCATTGCATAATAGACAGATCTTCCCTTTTTAGTGCAACCAATATGCTTAATTAATGTATGTAAAATTATGAAAATCAGATTTTTCCACCAGTTTATTATTTTATTTTATTTTATTTTATTTTATTTTATTTTATTTTATTTTATTTTTGTTAGTCCTCACCTGAGGATATTTTTCCATTGATTTTTAGGGAGAGTGGAAGAGAGAGGGAAAGACAGAGAGAAACATTGATGTGAGAGAAACACATTGATTAGTTGCCTTCTGTACAAGCCCTGACCAAGGCCTGGGCCCGGGAGAAGTCTACAACCAAGGTACATCCCTTGATTGAAATCGAACCTGAGACCCTTTGGTCCAAAGGCCAATGCTCTATCCACTGACCCAAACTGGATAAGGCTTGCCACAGCTTAAAATTCTCAGATTGCACTCATTTTTTATCATTGGAACTCAACACTTCAATATACTTAAATGTTCTAGCTTGAAATATTATTTATTATAGTAGAGGCCTGGTGCACAAAATTTGTGCATGGGGGAGGGGTGTGTGTTTGTGTGTGTGTCCCTCAGCCCAGCCTGCACCCTCTCCAATCTGGGATCCCTCTCACAATCCAGGACTGCTGGCTCCCAACCGCTCGCCTGCCTGCCTGCCTAATTGCCCCTAACTGCTTTTGCCTGCCAGCCTGATCACCCCCTAACCACTCCCCTGCCAGCCTGATCGATGCCTAACTGCTCCCCTGCCGGTCTGGTTGCCCCTAACTGCCCTCCCTTGCCAGCCTGGTCACCCTTAACTGCCCTTCCCTGCTGGCCTGGTTGCCCCTAACTGCCCTCCCCGGAAGACCTGGGTCCCCCCGCCCCCAACTGCCCTCCTCTCCCAGCCCAGTCATCCCTAACTGCCCTCCCCTGCAGGCCTACTTGTGGCGGCTATCTTGTGTCCACATGGGGGCGGCCATCTTGTGTGTTGGAGTGATGGTCAATTTGCATATTTCCTTTTTATTATATAGGATAGCTTTAGAAGTTTGACCCTGGGTTTGCTTAACCAGTCCTCAAACTGGAATGAGCATCCAAACTCCTGTGGTGCTGGTTAACAATGCTGATACCTGGGCCTACACTCAGAGATTCTGATTCAGGATCTGCATCTTAATGAGATCCCCAGCAGGTCAGGAGTGGGTGACCCAGGGACCACACCTTGAGAAACATTAGATTGGCATATTTTTTACTCAAGACCAGGAGAGTTCTAGTTTAGAAGCTACGGTTGATTTTTCCTGGTCCTATGCACGGTTGAATTGGTCATTAGAACCTATCGAAGCCTTCAAAATGAACAAGCAAATCAGTGTGTTGAAACTTGGCTGCCAACACCTGCAATCACAGGACAAATGTGCCAGCTGTTTATCAATATTCATGGGTCAAGTCTGTGCTTGTGTGTCTGAAAAGGGGTGGCATCAAAGCCAGAACCCTGATTGATCAGATAGAGCTACAGCAAGTGCCCCTCCACCCCACTCCCACCCCCCTAAGATGCCAACACCATGGGCCAGGTCTTCAGGACTTTAGTTTGGCTGCCTGGCGTTTTTATTAATTAAGTCTGAGAAGTGACTGGAGACAGACTGAGTACATGTGCTCCGCAATCGCTGGCGAAAAATCTGTTTCTTCAGTTTTCCTTGTGGAACAAGGACAGATGACTGAAAACATTAGCAGAAAGCAAGCAAGCTATCAACCAGCACTTGTTTATGTTGCATGCTCTCACAAAGAGTGTTGTATTCCATGATCATAAATCACCTGGTGGGTAGGTGACTCTAATATCACCGTTCCACAGAGGAGGAAAGGGAGACGCAGAGAGTGTGCACTTTGCACATGATCACACATCTAGTAAGTGGTCATGTGCTGGAGGCTAAGTCCAGCAGATCATAATAAACTCGAAAAGTCCTCAAAAGGCTGGTGGGCTTTGATATTCAGCAGTGCTGAATATCAGCATTATATTACCCTGCTGCTGGCCGAACAGCTGTAGGCAATTCCCCTAACCTGATAATCTTTTACTGTTTTCCAAACCTTACCTTTGATATGTGTGTTTGCTTTGCTAAAGGGAAAAATGTGTGAATAAAAAGCCATGTGTCTGGACATTCAGGGAGCCCACTTCACTAGAGGGTGAGGCCTCTGTCTGGGTTTCCCCCATACCTTCCAAATTTATATTTCTTTTTTTTTTTTCAAATTTATATTTCTTGTCTAGTGTATCCATTTATGCATCAGCCCCTTCTCCAGATTCCTGAACTCTTGCTGCGAAAAGACTGCGGCAGTCATGAAGAGTTTCAACTGTTGGCCTTTTGTCCTTCAATCCAGTGCTTTGTGCAATAAACACTGTCTTGACCAACCTCTTGTATTTTGACTTTGTTTTCCCTTCCCAAGGTCATGTTATTCAGAAAAACAGAGACACTGTCATGAATGAAAGTAATCTGAACAATAGGACACTTTCATTCTAGCAGACCTATTCTTTGAATGTTAAAGTAGAATATAGAAATAGGGGCCCGTGATGAATGTGAAAACAATTTATCAGACAATGACATCTCTATGCTAATGGTACTCTGGGGAAAAATTAAAGTGATTAGATTGGTTTATTTCACCTGAGGGTAAGGATCTTTTATAGGCAGGTGGTCTTTTAGAATGTGGATGTACAGGGTGACCAGAGTATAATATTTCCCCTGTGTTCTGAGTGTGGGATCTTGCTGCTGCCTAGTTGCTGGTTTCATTGATCCTTCACATGAAATATATATTTTGTTAAGTGGTTTTACTCTTCTTTTATAATCTATCAAATGTAACTTCAGATATTACCCAGGGTTTACCTTCACTGCCGCCAGGTTCGGGTTATACAAATTTAAAAGCAAAGACCCTCTTCTGAGATGGAAATATTTCACAAAGGTTCTTTTCTTTACAATAAAAAGGACCATTTGGGTGATTTCACAAGAAGAAGAACCAGTCTGCTCCCAAAGGATTATGTAGGGCTCATCATGTCCAGATCTAAACCACTACTTTTGATGCCTCCCCCTCCTCCCAGATTTTTTTTCCTCAAGATTTCAGCCTAGGTGCCCATTACAGGAATCAAGGGTCCCTTGATCCATAGACCTCAATGGCAGCACTTGAGTGCATTGGTCCATAAACTTGCATTGACCAATGTCTCTCCTTCTGTAAGAGCCAGAACTAGAACTCAAACCAGATCTCCTGACTTTAGTCTATTCCTCTTTCCTTAGGGCCTGGGCAGTGGGCGTCACTGCATGTGGGCACAGTGGGTAGGAGTGTTGAGAGGCTAGACAGCAGTTCCAGTTCTCTCCTAATAGTCTCCCCAGGCGTCAAATAAAATACTTACATCAGCTCCTAGTCCCTTTCCCTGGAACCCTACAACTCAATATATCCAGTGGTACACTCACTGGCAGAGCAGCCCCCAAAACTCAGTGCTTTAGGTGGATACCTGTTGGTTTGCTATCTCGGGAGCTCCTCTGGTGAAACCTGAAACTGTTTCCTGTACATGGAAGGTAAAGAGAGACTGAAAGAGACAGATGACTCCAGATTGGTAGGTAGCAGGCTTAACAAGCAAGGGAACTTACATAGGAGGCTTGCCTGGCCGACTCCAAGATGAGTAGACCTCTGCATCCACTAAATTAGAATCTTAAAAGCTTATATATTGGTCGTACCTGGGTTCTGTCACACATTCAGTCCAGATGGTCTTAACAACACTGTACTTTCTCATGGCTGTGTCATTGAACTGACTCCCACTGTTGGAAGAGTAAGCAGGATGTAACTTCCAAGGATGGGAAAAGGTGTAAAGAGCCTGATTCCTAGGTCCAGCTTGTGGGTCAGTTGGCAGTCATGTCCTCTTTATATATATATTTTATTGACTTTTCACAGAGAGGGAGAGAGGGAGAGAGACAGAGAGCTAGAAACATCGATGAGAGAGAAACATCGATCAGCTGCCTCCTGCACACCTCCCACTGGGGATGTGCCCGCAACCCAGGCACATGCCCTTGACCGGAATCGAACCCGGGACCTCTCAGTCCGCAGGCCGACGCTCCATCCACCGAGCCAAACCGGCTTCAGCAGTCATGTCCTCTTGATCACTTCTTCTAACAATGGTGCAGAATAATTCTAAGAGTACAATATGAAACATCTATTACTTATCATCGTATCTAATTCATCACCAAGTCCAGTTAATTTTCTTTCCTAAATATCTCTCACCCTAGCCAGTTTGGCTCAGTGGATAGAGCGTTGGCCTGGGGACCAAAGGGTCCGGGTTCAATTCCAGTCAAGGGCACGTACCTTGGTTGCAGGCTCCTTCCTGGCCTGGACCCTGGTTGGGGCTCTTGCAGGAGACAACCAATCACATCGATGTTTCTCTCTGTCTTCCCCTCTCTCTAAAAATCAATGGAAAAATATCCTCAGGTGAGAATTAAAAAAAAAAAAAAAATCAAGGGGAGAGATATTGCCACCACCCTGGTGTAAGCCATCATTACCTCTGGTGGGGCCACTGAAAGAATCTACTAGTCTCCCTTCTTTGTGTACTTTTCTCTCCGCACCCTAAAGTTGAGGCCTTCTTGCTTGACTGTCCTAGAACAGCCCTCCCCAAACCCTTTTGCTTAATTAACATCCACTCACCCTTCAGGTCTCAGCACCAGCAAGGGTCACCCCTTAGGGAGGTTGATTTTGCCTCCCAAGTTCTTGTGTTATTTGTTCTTATAGAAATTTCTTCTTTCACTTCATAGCATTTATCTCCACTGATAAACAATCTCTGTGATTATAAGATTAATGGATGTTGCCACTACTAGACTATAAAACCCATGAGATGAGGATACATCTGTATTATCCTCTCTCCCTTCTCTATTTCTCCCTACTTCCCTTCCCTTCCCTTCCCTTCCCTTCCCTTCCCTTCCCTTCCCTTCCCTTCCCTTCCCTTCCCTTCCCTTCCCTTCCCTTCCCTTCCCTTCCCTTCCCTTCCCTTCTCTTCCCTACCTACCTCACTTTTTCCATAGGAAGTCTATCTTTTCACTGAGCAAAGGATATGAGCTTTACTCACATTGAGAAGGAAAAATGGAAGTTATTCTCTTGAAGGGCAGGTTTCCGAAGATCTGAGATGTTCCACTAAAGTGCAAGTTAAAGCAACTCTGCCAGGGCTGCCTACAGCCTTCTATGTTTGTAGTTAATTTATCTCACTTTTGGGGGTTATGTTTTTT